TTGCTTGTAGAAAGCCTCCAAGTACACATGTATTGTAAATTTTACTAACTTCAATTGACTATTTTCTGCAGATTTTTTTTTTAAATTCCAAGGGGGAAAAAAATCCCAACCAGTTACTGATAATTCAGTTATGTGATGTAGATTGCTTTAACTCTGAAGAGTACAAAGGATACCCTTCAGCCCCTCCGAGTCCCAACCTATGTGGTTTCCTCTGCAGAAGAGGTTGGATCTTTGCCAAGGGGCACTGAGCCAATGCAAACCAAGTGGGTCTAAACACTGCTACAGTACTACATTTTAACACTTATGTGCTACTGTTGAGTATCTTTAGCACTGGAGTGATTTGTATAAATTGGAATGGTGGATACCTATATAACATAAATTATTACCTTTGCATACATAATCCCCTTATGAATTATACATTTTATAGAGAGATAAATATCAGTCATATAGATAATATCTAATTTTATAATGTATTCAAACAACTTTATTTTAATAATGTAAGATAAATTTATATTTTATAAAAATTTACTTTTTTAAATAATTAGCACATTTCATGCATGGAACATAGCCAAAGAAAGATTTGCTTAAAATAGTCACAGCAGGAAGTTATGCTATAAGAATTTATTTCAAGCAATGATCTAATACACTCAGTTCAGATAAAGGGACTTTTACTTCCAATCCCTGAAGGCAGAGAACAGAACAAGAACAAATTCCCTTAAAAGTATGAATTGCTTTTTACTAGTATACTAAAACTGAGACATATTAGGAAAAAATGCCTTTTAAGCTATGTAGCATCTCTTAAAGCAAAATTGCAAAGTTAACTAAGACTTTTTTTTTCCCTCGGCCACTTTCATAGAACATGTTATCCCCTGCTAAGATATTAACGGAAAATTAAGATTTTACTTGATGTCATCAATTGGCTCTTACTAGGAGTATAAGTACTCTTAAAAGGAATTCTTGAAGAAAAAATACAGTCTTAAGAAAAAATGGAATAGACCTATAATGTTAGAATGGAGGACAAACTTTCAAATTCTAGTACGTAATCAACTGCTTATTTTATCTTACTCTAAACAATATCCAGGCTATGAGCTAACAAACTTTTTTAAAAATAGTCATGAGTTTCTTACTGTGTTTGGATTAACAGAAGTCAAAAACAATTGCTAGCAGTATTTTAGCCCTCACTTTTTCTTCTAAAAACACAGATTACATGAAATGTGTAAATATACATTTGCAGAAATTATTTCTTTATTAAGTTTGAGCATTTATAAGAAGTAACTCCTTTTCCTGTGGTAGGCCTTAAAAATGTGTGAAAGAATGACTTAAAAGTTAGTTGATTTAAACCCAAATACCATTGTTCTATTTCAGGAATTAATTAAGTAATGTTAACACATATAAAGATAAATGTTTTGTGCAGACTAAAGCCCTAAGAAGAGATAATTCTATAATAATGGAGTAATTGATATTTGACTAGCAAATCCCACAATTATAGGGTTAAAGTGGTCATTGTAGATGAATACTGTATGTAGCTTTAAAGTCCAACGTCCTAGGATGGCCTATAAACAATTTTCTTGGAAAAAGAATAACTCAATATTAGCAACGATTGGCTTTAACCCTTGCAATTGCTCCTAGTCTTTTTTTTCTCAATACTTCTGAAAAAGATGGGTTAAAAAGACAATAGAAGATGCTTCAGAGATGCAGACTAGATCTGATATTATGTCATCCTATCAGTCATGCAGTCTCTGCCAGTCTTAGCATCTATCTCTGTTTGCATAGTTATTGATGTTTGCTAAAGTACTAGTTAATAGATAATGTCTAAAATCTGGCACCCTTTCCTCTGGGTTTCATACTGGTAGTTGAAAATGTAGGACATGGTAGTAATTGCCTTTTGAATTTAAAATTACTAGTGTATATTTCTTTTTTTACGGTGAAATTGTCTTAATGAACCCATAGTTGGGGCATTATTTATCTTTACTAGCTGACAGTGATGGATTTATAGGAGAAAACTGTCAGATGTGAAATGAGAGTGTGAAAAAAGCAGTAATGATATTTGTTACTATAGCCACATTATCAGTTGAAAGTATGCTTATTTGTGAACTGAAAGTTAATAAAATTTAATTTTACAATTGTTATAGATAAAAATATTCATTATTGATGTGTATAACTAATTTGTCATTTATTCAATCCAAAACTTTGCATTTCCATTATAGCCTAGTGCATATCAACTAATTTTGATGTTTTTCATTTATACTTTCAAAGCCTTTATTATTATATTTATTCACTCTTAAGAACATGCATATGTACTTAAATCCGTAAAAATCCAGAATGTGTATCAGAGGCAATATATTCCTTAAGTATGTCACTTTTTAACATGCACATGATATACTGAATTTGACACTGAGTCACTTAAAACAAAGCAAAACTAAATAGGAGAACAGAGATGAAAGTAAATGAATGTAATCAAATGTATACATAAATATACTCACCTTCTTAAAATTTTTGTTTATGTCAACGAGACTGAGTAGAAAGATGTGATCTTTGGCTCCCAAGAGCAGCCTGCCTCTCTCCTCATCTAGCAGAAGAGTTTGAAAATCCAGTCCTTCTGATGAACCCAAAAAGGGAATACAGCTATTTGAAAGCAGCAAGTCTATGGAAATCAAAAAAAAAAGAAGAAGAAGAAAAGAAAAAAGAAAGAGAGAGAGAGAGAAAGAAAGGAAGGAAGGAAGGAAAGAAAGAAAGAAAGAAAGAAAGAAAGAAAGAAAGAAAGAAAGAAAGAAAGAAAGAAAGAAAGAAAGAAAGAAAGAAAGAAAGAAAAGAAAGAAAAAGAAAGAAAGGAGAAAGAAGGAAGGGGAGAAAGAAAAGAAAGAAAGAAAAGGAAAGAAAGGAAGGAAGGAAGAAGGAAAGGAAGGAAGGAAGGAGGAAGGAAGGAAGGAAGGAAGGAAGGAAGGAAGGAAGGAAGGAAGGAAGGAAGGAAGGAAGGGAAGAATTATTAATAGGCAAAATATTTACTTACCTATATATACATATTGTCCCACTTTGTAAATGAATACATACAGCATAAAAGCACCAACATAACTATATGTAATTACAATTTTCAACATGATTTAGAAATAGATGTAATATATTATATTTGAACTTCAATACACTATTTATGTATGAAAAATACACAGTATCAAAATTTAAATATAAAACATGTTAATACACAAACAATTAAATACAAAATATTTTACAATCATGTGTTCACATTCTTAAATTATAATTTAGAGCATCTATGTTAATGTTATCAAACCTATAAAATTAATCAATGTATACAAAGTAAACATCAAATCAAGTGTGTCAAAAATCTCTTAGCATCTTTCCCCTACTTTTTAAAAAATATGCTTCATTTTTTGGAGTGGTTTTAGGTTCATAGCAAAACTGAGAGGGAGATACAGAGATTTCCCTTATACCTCTTACCCCACGAATGCATTGCTTCTCCCATTATCTACATCCCCCACCTCAGTGGTACAGTTGTTACAATCAATAAACCTACATTGACAAATATTAATTATCCAAACTCCATAGTTTATGTTAAGGCTTAATTTTGGTGTTGTGTGTTTTATTGATTTAGACAAAGAAATAATGACAAATATCAACCACTGTAATATCATATAGAGTATTTCCACTGCCCTAAAAATCATCTGTGCTCCACCCATTCATCCTTCTCCCCTACTGTTCTCTCTGGCAATCACTAATTTTTCTACTGTCTCCAAAGTTTAGTTTGTTACAGGATGTTATATATGTAAACATACAGTATGGTGCCTTGCATATTGGCTTCTTTCACTTAGTAATATGCATTTAAGTCTGCTCCATGTTTTCATGACTTGATAGCTCATCCTTTATTAGTGCTGACTAATATTCTATTATTTGGATGTACCACAGTTTATTTAAACTTTTACCCACTGAAGGACATCTTTGTTGCTTCCCAGTTTTGGCAAGTATGAATAAAGCTGCTGTAAACACCTGTGTGAAGGTTTTTGTGTAGACATAGTTTTATGATTTGACTGTGTCCCCACCCAAATCTTACATTAAATTGTATCTTCCATGATTCTCACATGTCGTGGGAGGGACTTGGTGAAAGATAATTGAATCATGAGGGTGGTTTACCCCATACTGTTCTCATGGTAGTGAATATATCTCATGAGATCTAATGGTTTTATAAGGGGAAATGCCTTTTGCTGGGCTCTCATTTTCTCTTATCTGCCACCATGTAAGATGTGCATTTTGCCTTCTGCCATGATTGTGAGGCCTCCCAGCCACGTGGAACTGTGAGTCCATTTAACTTCTTTTTCTTTATAAATTACCCAGTCTCAAGTATGTCTTTATCAGCAGTGTGAAAATGGACTAATATGCACAGTTTTCAACTTTTTTGAGTAAATATTACACAAAAGATAATGATTGCTGGATCTTCTGTGTAGGTTTGTGAGAAACTGCTAAATTGCTTTCAAATGTCTATACCACTTTGCATTTCCACTAGCAATGAATGAGAATATCTGTTGCTCCATATCTTCATTAGCATTTGGTGATATCAGTGTTTTTGATTTGGGTCATTCCAACTGATGTGTAGCAGTATCTTATTGTTTCAATTTGTATTTGGTTGATGACATATGATATGGAGCACCTTTTTATATGCTTATTTGCCATTCATATACGTTCCCTGATGAGATGTCTGTTAAGATCTTTTGTCCACTTTTAAAAATTAGGTTGTTTGTTTTCTTATCATTGAGTTTTAATAGTTCTTTGTATATTTTGGATAACAGTCTTTTATCAGATATGTCTTTTGCCCATATTACTTTTGATTGTATTAGATTGATGCCTGTGTTGGAAGAATTAAAAGTTTTCTATTTCACATGTGCAGAAAGAAGATGTAAAGAAAGAACCTGAATCCAAGAAAATAGATTCTGAAAGAGATATGACCCTGAACCAATAATCCAGTAGTGATATCAAAAATTTAATGCTGGGAGACGAGACCAGAGGCCGAACTCGGGTTCTGACAAGATGGCCGGGCTGCCCTGCAGGATCATCAAGGAAACCCAGCATTTGCTGGCAGAACCAGTTACTGGCATCAAAGCAGAACCAGATGAGAGCAACGCCCGTTATTTTCATGTGGTCATTGCTGGCCCTCAGGATTCCCCCTTTGAGGGAGGGACTTTTAAACTTGAACTATTCCTTCCAGAAGAATACCCAATGGCAGCCCCTAAAGTACGTTTCCTGACCAAAATTTATCATCCTAATGTAGACAAGTTGGGAAGAATATGTTTAGATATTTTGAAAGATAAGTGGTCCCCAGCACTGCAGATCCGCACAGTTCTGCTATCGATCCAGGCCTTGTTAAGTGCTCCTAATCCAGATGATCCATTAGCAAATGATGTAGCGGAGCAGTGGAAGACCAACGAAGCCCAAGCCATAGAAACAGCTAGAGCATGGACTAGGCTATATGCCATGAATAATATTTAAACTGATCAGATCATCAAGTGTGCATCACTTCTCCTGTTCTGCCAAGACTTCTTCCTTTTTGTTTGCATTTAATGGACACAGTCTTAGAAACATTACAGAATAAAAAAGCCCAGACATCTTCAGTCCTTTGGTGATTAAATGCACATTAGCAAATCTATGTCTTGTCCTGATTCACTGTCGTAAAGCATGAGCAGAGGCTAGAAGTATCATCTGGATTGTTGTGAAAGGTTTAAAAGCAGCGGCCCCTTCCTGCTTTTACTCATTTCCCCCATCCTGGTTTAAGTATAAAGCACTGTGAATGAAGGTAGTTGTCAGGTTAGCTGCAGGGGTGTGGGTGTTTTTTTTAATTTTTTTGAGGGGGGAGATAGTTTTATTTTAATTTTATGGGCTCCTTTCCCCCTTTTATGGTTATCTAATTGCATTGGTTAAAAGCAGCTAACCAGTTATTTAGAATATGCTCTCTAGCCAAGTCTAACTATATTTAGACGCTGTAGATGGACAAGCTTGATTGTTTGAACCAAAATGGGAACATTAAACAAACATCACAGCCCTCACTAATAACATTGCGACTTTGCTGTCAAGTATAGATTCCCCACTTCGAAAAAAGCTTGTGACCATTTTGTATGGCTTGTCTGGAAACTTCTGTAAATCTTATGTTTTAGTAAAATATTTTTTGTTATTCTAAAAAAAAAAATTTAATGCTAGAATGGATCTTGAAATCAAATCAATGCACATCCATAATTATATAAATGGAGCCATTTAATCTTTTTGAGGTGAAATCACATGCCCGAAAATCACAAAACTATGTAGACACAAAGCTGATAATTGAATAGGAGTTCCCAGTCTTCTTTTTTTTTTTTTTTTGACACTTCCCTTTAGGTCCGAATTCTTTGTTTTATTTATAATTGTGAAATGCACAGACTCCTATAAGTTATCCAAATCTTTTCACTAGATTCTACCTCAAGTACTTTGAATATTATCTTATTTTTTAAGTTCTAGAATACTGAATGCTGATAAGGTAATAATATTCATCACTTTATTAAAGCCCATTATATACTATCAGACTTTCAACCAATTCATTATTTAAAAGTAGCTCATTATTAATTGATGAGAAAGATAAAAAGAGATAATATCTAGGGAATGGGCAATAAGATAATTCTAAAAGTATCATGACAGTTTTAACCTCTTTAAAAAGGATATTTCAGTCCCGTAAATATAATGGCTATCTATTCCATCTATCAACAATGGGCTTTATTATTATTTTATATTTTTTAGCATTTTCTTTCTTCTTCTTTTCTACTTTCTAATGGTTAAATGTTATTTCCCTTAGTTTCTAAGCTGGGTTTTGTCTTAAGTTTTTACAAAGCAAAAGGCAGTATGTTGAGGAAGTCATGATATCTGAAATCTCCAATGAGCATGGCTTTACCGAACAGAAATGTCTTATTAACATTAATGGATCATGCTTTGTGTATATTGGATAGAAGTCTGAAATTGATACTAATTATTTCTTTATTAGGTCAAATATAACTTTAATCGTTTCTCAGATCAGAGACCCAGTTGTGTCATATTTTTTAGCAGTTCATATTGCAGGGATAATATCCAACAAACATGCCATACTGAGTGTAAAGTAGAACTGAGAAGAATGGAACCAAGACAAAAGCTAAACAAATATAATCAAAAGCCTTAACAAGAAAATGCATTTCACACAAACCTTAATTCAGTCAGGCAGTTCTGGGTCTTCCATGCAATTTCCCTTATTTAACAAAGACTGAAATTGGCAAAATCAAAAGTATGTAATATCATTCCTGGGAGTTTATTTTGATCCTAGAAGAGGAAGTAGTTTATATAATCTAAATCCTTGTTTCAAGTGCCTATGAATAATATTCAATTATTTTTAAACTTGAATTACATTGTTAATTACAAAATGAAATATTACTTTTCATAATGAGTAAGTGTATGAGTTTTAGGTCAAGGCCACCAGGGCATTATCCTGGCCTCATAACTCATTGGCTGTGCAATCTAGAATGAGTCACTTAACCTCTCTGTGCCTCAGTTTTCTGATCTATAAAGTGAGGATAAAAACAGAAACAATGGAATAAGCATGTTGGTGTGAGGAATAAATGAGTTAATATGTGGTCAGCATTATGAATAGTGTCTGGCACATAGTAAGTGCTATGTAGCTATCAGCCATTATAGTGATAATGATCTATTTTTAAAAGTCTATACAAAATGTATAAGAAGGAAATCGTGATATTTCTCAATTCATCTCTTGATGATTCAAATAGGCAATTTATATAAAGTTCTTAGAACCATGCTTGATAGATAGGAAAAGTCAATAAATATTATTTTGAGTATGATAACTAAATTCTGCCTTGGGCCAAATAAGATATATTTAAAAAGCATGTATCTTATCTTCCATTAAATCAGAATTAGTAAGATGTAATACCATCTCTGCATTTTTCATGATGATGGCATAGTATTAATATGCTATTAAATCCACAAATATTTATAAGCATTTAGTGTGTGTTAAGTGTTGAATATGGTGTTAAGGTTGTGGGATTAGTGAGGCTTGTTTGCAAGGGGCTCAGAGATCAGTGTGGGAACAAATATGTAGATAAAACACAACATCTGTGAAATAAATTCTAATACAAGTATATATGATAAGTCTTTAAAATAAATCATTATACATCACCTTCTAAAAGGAGGTGATATTTGAGGACAGTCTTGAAAGACAGGTATAATTTTGAGAGGAAACATGAAGAAAAATTTGTTCCAGGTAGAATGACACTAGGCTGTACAGGGCACATGTTACTTTAGGTTACACATACTTACTACACTTTTAATATATCTCCTACCCTAGAGTGTGACCTCCGTCAGGGTAAAGACCATGTTATCTTTGGATTTCCAGCACCTAGCTCATAATCTGAGACAAATTCAGTGCTTAATAAATATTTCTAGAACTGAAGAAATTTGCTGTGCTGAAAAACAGAAAATACATGGAGTGTAAAGAAGTGAGACTAGACATAAAGCCAGCATCTAGATGATTACAGGCTAAGATGGCAAGCTGAAGAATTTGGTTGTTATGTAGATGATTGGAAGCTACTAAAATCTTTTATTCAGAAAAGTGGCAAAAACTGTAGCTGAGTGTTACAAAGATAAGTCTGGCTAAAGTATTCAACACGGATGAGAATGGGGAAAGGTAGGGTCAGGAACACTATCCAGAAGGCTCTGAAACATGGTGAGTCCCTGATTATGGCAATGAGAGGAAGAAGATGGTTAAGAGTTGTGTATGTTATTTTTTGTCTTTACTTATACAGTGAGAAAAGAAATATACAGTTGACACAGTCATTTGTTGCATTTTCTTTCATCATAACCAATTATATGGGTTTTAGTTTGAAACCAACTTGACAAGAAAAAACAGCTGAAAAAATAGTGACTAACCTGGGGTATTATCATTTCCAAATGATTTAATATTGCCCTGTGACAATGCTAGCAGTAAAACGATTAAACATCCTTCAACAATTCATTGTAGCCAAATTAAATAATTAGACTTAGGCATTATATATAAAAATTTCTTAGGCTGATGCACACATTATGAAAAGACTTTGGGACAGGGATTGGAACAGGTTCTCTTTTCCAATCAGCTTATCTTTCTTGCATTTCTGCCAAATCAAGCAAAGTCATTTCAGTTTCCACAGGATTATCAACCAAAACAAAACAAAACAAAATAGTAATTTTAGAGCCTGTATCTTAACACATGAAGCTAAGACTCTCCCTAGATTTCACATATCAGAAATGGGTGCTGACTCTGCTAGGTTCAAACTCATCAAAGTTGAAGACTAATAATTTGACAATATACGTCAGAGCTTTAAAAAGAAATTATCCTAAACTGAAAATTCTTGGGCATGTGATTTTTGAGACTGTCCATAGTTTCAAGCTTTTTGGACAGAACTTTGTTTTTTATTATTTCCCTTGTGTAAAAGGGTGAGTGTGTTGCTTCACACGTGCCATTGAGAGGAGACCAGCTCTGTGCTTGGTTAAACAGCCCCACCCTTCCTCGGGATGTCAGCAGCACTTACCTCTATGTCCTAAATGACTCCTTTGTTCTATCTCCCTAAACCTTTGACCTAAACCACCATAATTCTTCCTTCTCACTGTTTAGCAGTGCATTCTCCTGTTACCTTGTTCCCAGTTTGTAATCTTAATTACCCAGATGTTCAAATTCCCACTTTTGTGCTAGCAACACACTCTTGAAAAAATCATAATCTCATTATTTCTAAAATTAATGAATCAAGAACATGGTTTTTTATTTATCTACTTGTTTAAATATAGAAACCATTGCATATTATGGATTATGATGGACAGATGACACAGAGAAGATATTTTTCAGCCATTATCACTAAACCACCATGGGACAATGGAACAGTTCTGAGGATCCAATTTCCTATAAACAACATGAATTTTTCACATTTATATCTATGTCTACAATTTTTAAAGAGTTCCTGCACTTGTCTTTATTAACACCTCTTGATGTCTTACCAGAAGTCCCAGGTAAAATTATGTTTTCCACATGTCAATAATCATATCTAAAATAATTTCTCATTGCCAGTGCAAGAAAGTGAGTCACTACCCTCCTAAAATGTGATATTTGCAGGCTAATGTCACACCTAAGAACACCAGGTATCTGCACGTGCTGGGAAGACACTGATTACAAGTGTGACACACGCCTTACCTCATGGAACGCACAGCCTAGTGGAGAGGAAATACTCATCAACAACAAAAATGAAATACACTTGTGACAAAACACAACCATACTTAAAGTAGTAGCCATTAAATATCTTTAATAGTAAAATGGAAATATCTTTTTTATTTATATTTCCTTTAGCAAGCCTAATAATGCTATCTCACTTTTCTCATCTCTAGGTGTGTAGAGAGACCAAATGAGTTCTCTGCATTAAAATCTTAATACTTAATTTTGGTAAAATTAGGTATATATCAAATAACAAACTATCATTCACCTGTTTTTCTTTTTGAGACAGAGTCTCACTCTATCACCCAGGCTGGAGTGCAGTGGTGTGATCTCCGTTTACTGCAATCTCTGCTTCCTGGGTTCAAGCGATTCTCCTGCCTCATCCTCTCAAGTAGCTGGGACTATAGGTGTGCGCCACCACACCTCGCTAAATTTTGTATTTTTGGTAGAGATGGGTTTTTGTCATGTTGGCCAGGCTGTTCTCAAACTCCTGTCCTCAAGTGAGCCACCCGTCCTGACCTCTCAAAGTGCTAGGATTACAGGCGTGAGCCACCACACGCAGCCTCACCTATTTCCTCCTGATTGCTGCCCTGGTTCCTAGGAGCAGATAGTGTCTAACCTTTGGGAAGAACAGAAATACAGTATGAAACAATTAGAGCTACAGAATTATCTTACCGGTACTTCTGTTTGACTCACATGTTACCAATTCGGGGAAGTGCAGACTGGTTAAGCAGGCTTCAGATTATTGATTTACTCTCAGTGGTGGAGCCCAAAAACAATGAATCTCCTAATTGACAGTCACATGCTCCCCTATTTGAGGGGAAGGCTAAGGATTAGGTAATCTCTGCTCTTATTTGAAATACTGTTGTTCTAAAAATAATTCTTTGTATCTCCCTTTGAGTGTCCCTTAATACAATTATTCATTCAGCCTGAAGAAACATTTG